AAGCAATGGTTTAATTTCATAATCTTCTTCTTCAAATCACAAGAGCTGAAATGTTCCACTTTGGTGTGCAGCGCAATCAAAAATAACCGGGCCACAGCCGGTAAAAATGTAACTTCACACCGGCTCTTTAGGTCACCCGACGATAAATAAAACAGGACAACCTTTCACTCTCTCTCTCTCTCTCTCTTCTGCTCCTTCTGTCTCCCTCTGTCCAAATTCAGGGAGAGAAATTTCAATTCCTTAAGATCGAAACCATTTTCTCTTCAATTCTCACAAAACCCGCTTTCCCGCATTTTCTCGGAAACTTTCCTTCGGGTCATTTTTCTCGGAAAAAGTATGGGAATTGCAAAGAGTTCATTTCCTTTGTGTCAGCTTTACTCTTTCCATGTGCTGTAGTGAGCGAACGACACAGTTCGTTTGAAAAACCTCTGCTTTTCTCTCTTTTAGATATTTTCAGTCGCTCTGTTTTCCACAAAAGTGCAGAATGGGAATCTCTGGGTTTCGAGGCTCTTTGAAAGCTCATTTATCTTTTTTGGGGAATTAATCGAGCTGTGTATATAAAGCCCTAGTTTTTTGGTACCTAAAGGTTAAGCTATTTTTCTTTCACTTATTTTCTGTGGAATTCTGAGTGGGTCTTGACTTTCTTAGGGGTTTTGGGCAAGTTGGAGTCTGGGCATTGAAAAAATGGGGGTTTTAGTGGTTTCTGCAAAGTGGTGTTTCGAAGGGGTCGAGTATTGGCTTGGTGAATTTTGAATGTGAATGGACCCAAGGGTTGGTAGAAGTATAACTTTGAGGGGCTCGTGTGTTTGAAAAGTTGAGATCTGTTTTGGGAACTTGAAGAGCAAGGTCAATGAATGTGCATAGTGGAAGTGTAAAATCCATATGCTTTTGGGTCTCTGGGGGTCTTTCTGGTTGTTTGAGCTTTTGAAAGTAAAAGAAGAATCTGGGTTTTAGTGAATTTTCAAGATGGGTTTTTGATGATTTGAGGGTTTGTTGGATCATATTAGCTGCTCGGGCAAACCCATATTCTGGTTGAATTCGAAGTGTGTATTTTATTTTTCTTTTGATTCTGAGTGGGGAAAAAGGCTGAGATCCTTGGAGAATTTGGTGTTCAGCCAAAGGAGTGATACTAATGTCAGGAGCTCCGAGAGTAAGGTCTATCAATGTGGCTGATTCAGAGTCAAGGCCAGTGCTTGGACCTGCTGGGAACAAGGCAGGGACGTTCAGCGCTCGAAAACCAGTTTCAAAACCACTGAGAAAGGCTGAGAAATTAGCTGAGAAGGTTGCCTCAGCTGAAGAGAAGAAAACTCGTCAATCTTCAATGCTAACTACCTCTCCTCAGCTGCATTCTCCCAGTGTTCCGTCAGTGCTTCGTCGGCACGAGCAGTTATTGCACTCAAATTTTTCACTAAATGCTTCATGTTCATCGGATGCCTCTACGGATTCGTTTCATAGTAGAGCATCTACTGGTAGGCTGACTAGGTCGAATAGTGCAGGCAGTAGGAGGAAGCAGTATGTTTCGAAGCCAAGAAGTGTTGTTTCTGATGGTGGATTGGACTCTCCTCCTGATGGTTCGCAGTCGAAGAAGAGGTGTGCTTGGGTGACGCCTAATACTGGTTCGTTCTTATTTCATTGATCCTGGTGAAAATATTTGCTTCTGGAGCGATTGGTTATTTCTTTCTAGTTAGTAATGTGCCTTTCGTATAATTATTCTCATGATATATTCTTAGCCGGTAATAAGTACCATAAAGATTTGTAGAATATATGCCCCTCCCGGTATTGTTATATGATTATCTTGTGACACGTTTCAGACTAGCAGTAGACTGGCATGATTTAATTCACAAATCACCGGAGTTTAGGCAAATTAATTTTTTCACCGCATGCCCCTCGTAATCTATATTATACTTGACAATGAAGACATAAGTTAACGACAGTTCAAAACCAAAATGACCAGCATTGCAGTTCATATTTCCCCAACAAAATCAAAGAATTCTGTACCTTTGAGTGAAGAGCTTCAAGTTAAGGGAGGATAAGGTTCTCATTAGGGTTTAACAGGCAATTGCTGATGGAACTAGTCATGTTTAAGGCTTAATTGGATTAAAACTTACTCTCCTCAAAGCTGTTGTATAAGTTAACTAATGAGTATAAATGCACTGTTCTTCTGATGTCCAAGCAGGAAATTCTTCACTCGGCCCTTCGCCATTATATTGATTTTGTCTCATTGTCAATTTGTTATGAATAATTTATTGCACACTTGCTTGGGTCATGGATGATAGAAAACAGATATATAACTCCAGAAGGCAACAATTTGAAAGATTTTCATTTCCATTTAGGGAGAGGGTGGAGGGGTTTCTTTCTTTTGATGGGTGCTAGCCTTATAACCATGCAAAGTCTTGTGGAAGTAGAACTACATGTATTATAGCCAGAGAAACATCTTGGATAGTTGAACCAAATATAATTTTCTACATGGCTTGATATTCTTCTTTCATAGATTATATTCTGATCGAGATTGATATGTTGTAAGCAGATCCATGTTATGCTGCTTTTCATGATGAAGAATGGGGGCTTCCAGTACACGATGACAAGTATGTCATAGCAACACTATCTGCATCTATGTTGATTGAAATGAAGATTACTTTATAAAACTCTACTTCACAGTCATTTTCCTGATCTGCTTGACCACATACAGGAAACTGTTTGAGCTTCTTGTCTTATCTGGTGCTTTGGCTGAACTTTCATGGCCTGCCATTCTAAGCAAAAAGCACATCTTTAGGTACTGTTTCTGTGTAGGTTCTCTTTTTTAAATAGTAACCGACTTACTCTAAATTATGTTCTGTATAAAGAGGTTGGGGCCTTTTAGTGATGGCCCCTTCCCTGTTGCATGGCCTTTCCACTCTATGTGATTAATTGACAAGCTTCTTTTTGCAGGGAAGTGTTTGCAGACTTTGATCCTGTTGCCGTCTCAAAGTTGAATGAGAAGAAGCTAATAGCACCCGGAAGCACTGCAAGTTCCCTATTGTCTGAACTAAAGTTACGTGCTATCATTGAGAATGCACGTCAAATGACCAAGGTAAATGCTCATTTCCTCCTCCAGTTGTATGAGATTGACTAGCAGAAGAAGCACACATGTGCAGACTGAGTAAATTACTACTAGCTCATATATGGGAAGTACTAAGAAACCGTACGCATGTAAGCATCCAGTATAATGTACTTTTTCAATGATACCTAATTTTAGCCAAAACTAACGTGGCACGTTGTTAGTATAATTGTACTAGTGGAATTATTTTATGCATCACTTTCCACAAACAAAATAGCCTCATTCACTCAATTTTACACAAATAAACTGGGGACCACATGTTTTCTCTTGTTTGTGCAAGCAATTAAATGGCATATAATGGGTGCTTAGTGATCATTTGATCAGGTAGGTTAGGTGAAAAAAGTAGTTGAATGGTGGTCCTCACCTCTCTGTAATTTGTATCACACATATAGGGCAAATTGTAATTCTATCATCCATACAGCAGCCTGACCTTCTATCTTACCTCAAGAATTGCTCATGCAACCTAATTATTCCTTTCTTCAACATGCCAGCTTGCTTCATTACTTAATCCTGAATCACGTATTTGACTTGATAAGTTCCAACCATTAACCACTATCCAATAACCCTTTTACTGTATCCATGATTGCACATTTTTTAATTGCTATGATTATCGTTGCCACTAACTTTTTGCAGGTTTTGCTGATGCCAGGTCATAGAAGAGTTTGGATCATTTGACAAGTATATTTGGAGCTTTGTGAATAACAAGCCTATAGTTAGCAGATTCCGGTATCCTCGGCAGGTTCCGGCAAAAACTCCAAAAGCAGATGTGATAAGCAAAGACCTCGTGAGAAGGGGATTTCGAAGTGTGGGGCCAACTGTTATTTATTCTTTCATGCAGGTCGCTGGAATTACAAATGACCATCTCGTTAGTTGCTTCAGATTTCAGGAGTGCCTAAACGCAGCGGAAGGGAAGGAAGATTATGGAATCAAGGATGAGGCTGAAAAGAAAACAGAAAATGGGATAGAATCGGACTTATCTGTTGCCATGGATGAATTGAGTTTCTCCTCAGACTTATAAAGAAAATGCCTTGGTCAGCCGGTTTCAATCATCAGTTTGCCACATTGACTGATTCAGAGCTACTCTTGTATTGGGTAGTAGTGAAGAGGGTTTTGTGTGTAATTAATGAATTCTGAAGCATTATGGATTCTCGCTCTGTAGATTACTGAAGTGGATTAAAATGAAAACTGGTGATTGTGCCGTTGGTGCGGCTTCTCTAGTCTTGAGAGCTTTCAAAAACTAATATACAATTTTTTGTACAGTTAAGAGATTAGTAATTAGAATCTCTTTAGAACCAGATTTGGGCATTAAAAAGAAGAAAAAGAAGAGAAGAAAATACACTGCAAAGCTTCTCTATCTGATTCATTCTAGGTTTAGCTTTTGCCTGACAATTGTGGGGTGGGGCTGGTTGATATCCCAGATGGTATACCTTAAGCAATGTGCTGGACTGGACAGCTGCAAGTTGCAACTCTACATCTGATGAGTCATTTTGGTGACAAATTGACAATGAAGGATGTGTAGCACAATATCTCTTTGTCTTTGTCCCCATATGACCGGCGACGGGGAACTGCTAATTGATTGATGGACATGTTTGCACTCTTGCCTCAACAAGTTCACCTAAAAATGTGGGACACCGCTCTTTCAAGTGTGAATTTAATTGCTGACTGCTGTCTAGGAAACCCTTCTGCCTTCTGCCTCAAACATTTTATTTTATCCAATCTTACCAAGGTGGGTTAATTGAGACAACGACAGATGGATTGTCCTGGAGACTTGTGTACTGTTAGCAACAGCACAATCCCAACTTTTCCAGAAGAGAAAAACTTCTCTCAATTAATCTATTCAAGTTTTCTAACCAAAGTAAATTGACCATTTAAATTTTGTTTTATCTACTTGATCTGAAGGAAATAACTGCAAACATCAGGCGGAAAAAAATGCCACCCATTTCTATACTGTTTCACTGCGATTAACCTATTCAACACAAGATATGCAAGGGTGTACAAATACCAAATCTACACAACTGTGAACTATAAGACTACAGCTGAAAGGTGAAAGACACCCACAACAAAATCAAAATAAAAAATCAAACCTGCCAATGTGATAACTTATAAAATTTTATATAGATACACTGCTTGCTTTTCTAAGGCCCGTCGATGATGGTCTTTATCAGTACTTAGGCCAGCTAAGGAACTTTCAGCAAGGCTTGATTTCAAATCCAATGCTCAAAAGAGTTCGAGCTGATTCCATTGCCTTCTCACCTCCAAGGTCCAAGGCCTCACCAGTCAATTCTCCCCCGGTGTCCACTGACCACTGGGTTGAAGAAATCTGGTTTTGGTGTGTATCAGTCTTCTTGATATGCAAATTGTTCATGGAAGCAGGAGCAGCGGCAGCAACAAGAGGAGCACTCGGAGGGCCATGTCGTTTCTTTGGAACAGGCATGTCATGGTCATGTATCCCCTTGTATGTTATAATCACAGCACTTGTGTTATCTATGGCTGTTTCAATGTGCTTCCGGACTGGACACCCAGCAGAAGTGCATCTGTAGTAGTTCCTAAAAAATTTAAATACAATTATCAAAACATAAGGAAAGGAATACATGTAGTAGTTCCTAAGTGGGGTTTCAACAGCTCACATGATAAGCAACGGAGATTTATGCAATAAGCAAACTCCTTTAAGTCTAAAGGCAACTGCATGCATAGCATACCCAACAATTATTCTCTATTATTTGCATCATTTGAAACTGTCGATAACCTTTTAGCTGGCAATTCTGCAGCTCAAGATTACTGTGCAGAGAAAAGACACTTTCTGATTTAAAGCTACAAATAGCTTAATATTAATATCCCCAGATACATAATACCAAAGAGTCAAATTACAACCAAAGGGAGAGGTTCATATGTCATGATTAATAATAATAAACAATAACGCTCTCTTAACACTCTGCATAAATTCCATTCACTTTCTATTTCTTGTCAATTGATACTCACAACTGGCAGATATTATATCAAAAGCTTCATTTGATTATAGACGCCACCAGACAAAATACAAAACGAGTAAAAGGCATTCTTTAGTCAATGTCATTTCTGCTCTGCTTGCATCTTGCAAGCGCAAATAAATGAAAATGGAAACAGCTAACATTGCTTAAGAATCAAAAGCAAATTGGAACATTTAAGTTGTTCTTTTGAAAATTCATAACTGAGGCTCTGCATCATTGAAATTTCCAGTTCGTCCAATTGCATCTTTCAAAAATTAAGCGCACTATGAAGTTTTAAAGCAGATAAGTCTAGCACAAAGGCAAGATGAAGTTTATGTAAAGAGAACATATGCCTAACATCTTTTAACAACATAAAATACTGAATCTGAACCCCAGATGCTGATTAATTGGGTCAATATATCAAGCTACAAAGAAAAAAGATGAAGGAAATGGGCATACCTGGGATGCGGATTTCCTTTCACCATCTTCTGTCCGTATTTGCGCCATCTGTATCCATCACCTGATATTCCAACATCCCCCGCCGCATGCACAACAAATTTAGGTTTCTTGCCAGGTTTTAGGAGAGAAGTTGAATACTCTAAGTTGCTTTTCTTCACTCTGGTTATCAATAAGCAGAGAGTATATCAAAACCAGGTAAATTTCTACTTCTTTGAACAAGTATGTTACAAAATACAGCATGAGAAAAGGAAACAAAATCTACGAGTAAACTTGCCTTCGTTTGGGTTCTGGTTCATCACCATCACCATGCTCCTCCTTGATCTTAACATCACCATTACCATCAGAGTCACTTGGGCTTTGCCGCTTTCTTTCAGGAATTGAAGGTGTTTCTTGAATACGTTCTTTTGAGGATGTGGACACCTCTGAATCATTAAATGTTCTGCAGGGATGTTCTGTAACACTATTCCTTACACACTCAGCAGATAATGCAAGTTTACTTTCCTTTGTGCAGTTACTTTTTTGAGGGGGCTCATGAGTATGTTGGCTTTTGTAAACAATTTCTGTTACATAGCCCGAGTGGTCACAGCATTCAATCTTCTTGGCATAACACTCAGAATATGTGCACCTATAATAACTTCGAGAACCTTGAGGGCTCTTCACTTGCTTCTGACCATATTTTCTCCAGTTGTAACCATCAGAAGCAGAAGTCTTCACAAGAGGAACAGAAGATATAAATTTATGGTCAGAAGAATTTTGCTTGTCCACCTCTGGTGTACATAAAGTATTAACCTTTTCTGGTGGCAGTTTTTGTTCTAGCAGAATCGGGCTGGGAGCAGATGAAATGGATTGCGTAACAGAAGTTGGTGATAGTTCTGACAACGGAGTTGGATAAACAGTCAACTGAAGCGGACTTTGTGTCTGAGTCTGAATGGATTGTGTAACAGACGTTGGTGATAGTTCTGACAATGGAGTTGGATAAACAGCCAACTGAACCGGACTTTGTGTCTGCATCTGAGAATCCTGGTGTGTTACAATTGCCAAAATTTCCTGGTGGCTCACCCCAAGTTGCTCCTGAGAGAGAACAAGGAAAATAATTATACAAGTGAAACACAAGGAAGCAGATATTTGACTTATGATAATGAGAGGTATAACATTCTGGAGTTGCATATGATTCAAATTACGTGATACAAGATGCATCCAAGACCCATTCAGATTGGCACGAATGTGCATCTAGAATTTGTCGTAAGGAAGACCCACGCCTCAAGTTAGACTGTAAGAGGTCTAAATGATATTATGTAAGGTCAATTAAGTTGGCCTGTTCCTCACACATATAGACTGAAAGTTTTTATTGTTAAATGTATTGGCCTGTTCCATCAGTCATAAAATCCAATCATTTTGTCTTCTGATATTATCTGATCACAAAGTGGTCAAGTTTTCTAACTTCCAGCCAATCCTCTGAAAAATGATACTTTAACATTCTTTTCATTTTGACATATAATCCACCTCTCCAGAAAGCAAACAGTATGTGAGATAATATCTCTTTATTTTTTATTTTTTCCTTTTTGACAGATAGGTTCAAAAGGAAAGAGGAAAAGACTTTACTTTGGTTATCACTACTCCAAAAGCGATACAGGCTAACAATTATTTTGCAACCTGACACTCCTCTTCACTTGTGGCTCTCTCCCTACTTAGTACCTAGAGGGCTTCACAAAAACTGCGAGGCTATAATCACAAGGATTTTGGATTCATGATTTCAACCCTCAAACAAGAACTTTAACAAACATTTTTGCTCGTCCCCATGAAAAGGCACTCATAGATTTCAATTCCAAAGAAAATTCATAAACAAAAAACTGCAAGAATGCAAAACCATTTCCACCAGCACCCTTGCACACATGACTTCTCTCCCAATTCGTGATATATTTATACGTCCCTCCTCACTCCAGCCCAAAAAACAAAAGTCAAGCAAACAGAAATTCTCAAAAGAATCAGTAATATCACGCAAATAAAAGTGCTCACAATTCACTTAGCCAAAGATCAAAAGTTTAGAAATTGAATATGAATGAGCTTCTAACCTGTAATTGAGCTCCATCAATCGACTGTGACGTGGAGTTAACCTGAAAACCTGTGGGATCAACCACACAAGATCACCCCGTTCACTATAATCCCACCAAGCACTAAAGCTATATAAAATAAAAAAACAAAAAAACATTTTTTTTCTTCCAAAAACTAACACACCGTTTCCGAAGAACAAAGCTTACCTGCACACTGATCGTTCTCTGATAATTCCAGCGTAGAAGGCACCGCTAGGGTTTCTAATTGCGTCTCTCTTGACTCTGGTGCAGAGTTCTGTAACTCGCCCAGATGAATTTCACCGAGTCGCTTTCCTTCTTCGTCCTCGTCTTCATCTTCATCGCCTTCTTCATCTTCTTCTTGTTCTTGTTCGTTTGGCTTTAGCTTTTCTACTTGGAGAGCATCGAAGCTCTCGTGCTCAGCCATGGCCGATTGTCACTCTAAGAGAGTAAAGTTTTTCGCAACTGTTGGTACTGTGACTTTTATAGTGTCCAAAATCGACCCCGAAAATGAGACCGAAACCGAAAAATGTTTTGGATTCTGTGTACCGGTTTATAGATTAAGAGGAGAGAGAGAGAGAGAGAGAGAGACGGTGAGAGATGTTGTGGGGGATATATGTGTCTTTGACTGGCGTTGACTCAGGTGGTTGTTATGACGGTGTAACCGAAGCCGTTAATATCTGCGTTACATCAGATGCGGGGATCATCGTTGTTTTGTTGACTTGACGGTTTCCTTTCGGCCGCCGTTTGGACTCGGACATAGTGACCCATTTTCTGTAATTTGTGTGTTTAAATAAAAATCTTGTATTAATTTAATCAGATGTTATAAGCACCTAAAAAAGCGATATTCTACTCATTCTCTTCCTTTATTTATTGGCTCATCACTTTAGGAGTTCAACCTCGAATTTTGCATTTTATTTTTAACCTCAATTGCTATGACAATATTTTATTTATCAACATTATTTCATATCATTTACAACCTTATTCTTTTTTATATAACAATTATTTTTTGAAAAACTTGAATTCATGTGAACACTCAAGATTTGAATTCATGTGAAATTTCAAGATTTGGATTCATGATCTCGCAAAAGTAAATTCATGTCTTTAGACCAAATGATTATGGACCGCTTGTCTTGCATATATGCAAAGATGAAAAATAAAATTCGCTTACTGTCTTATGAAAAATAAAATAAAAGGTGTAGTTTACTAGCCGAGAATATTAATTGTTGGAAGAAGAGTGTGTGGTTATAGTGGAAAACCCTTTTCGAAAGTCAGAACGCAATTACCACTTTGCCGTTTTTTGTTATGGATTGGAAGGCTCCTAATTAAACTGCTTTCTTTGTAAAAGATTAAAGAGAGATTCTTGCGAGAAAGTTAATCCGACTACCAAGAACAGAAACGCAAACGCTGATGATAGAACTCTGAGCACGTGGCCGTTTGTTGTCCAATCAAGATATAGAGCAGAAGACAAAGTTATTTTCTCAATACCATTTCGATTCCATATATGTACATATTTATGACGAGTTTTATATATTTAAAGGGTTGAAAATTGAATGTTGTCCAATCAAGATATAGAGCAGAAGACAAAGTTATTTTTCCAATACCATTTCGATTAATGAGGCCGTCTCCGTCATCATCCTCCACACTTGGGAATACAGTCCTGAAGAAATAAATAAATAAACATTCCTTCACACAGAGTCCAGTCCATCCAGATATCCCGAAAAGTAGAGTCACGCAAATCTACCCAATCCAAACCCGTCGGAGTTGAGAAAGAACACGTTCACAACAACTACAACTAATACAAGTAGATCAATGAATTCACAACCTACCTAAACCCAACCCCAACCCCAACCCCAAACAAAAACTATGTGACTTGTACTTGCATGCTCTAAGTTGCTTTTCTTCACTCTGGTTATCAATAAGCAGAGAGTATATCAAAACCAGGTAAATTTCTACTTCTTTGAACAAGTATGTTACAAAATACAGCATGAGAAAAGGAAACAAAATCTACGAGTAAACTTGCCTTCGTTTGGGTTCTGGTTCATCACCATCACCATGCTCCTCCTTGATCTTAACATCACCATTACCATCAGAGTCACTTGGGCTTTGCCGCTTTCTTTCAGGAATTGAAGGTGTTTCTTGAATACGTTCTTTTGAGGATGTGGACACCTCTGAATCATTAAATGTTCTGCAGGGATGTTCTGTAACACTATTCCTTACACACTCAGCAGATAATGCAAGTTTACTTTCCTTTGTGCAGTTACTTTTTTGAGGGGGCTCATGAGTATGTTGGCTTTTGTAAACAATTTCTGTTACATAGCCCGAGTGGTCACAGCATTCAATCTTCTTGGCATAACACTCAGAATATGTGCACCTATAATAACTTCGAGAACCTTGAGGGCTCTTCACTTGCTTCTGACCATATTTTCTCCAGTTGTAACCATCAGAAGCAGAAGTCTTCACAAGAGGAACAGAAGATATAAATTTATGGTCAGAAGAATTTTGCTTGTCCACCTCTGGTGTACATAAAGTATTAACCTTTTCTGGTGGCAGTTTTTGTTCTAGCAGAATCGGGCTGGGAGCAGATGAAATGGATTGCGTAACAGAAGTTGGTGATAGTTCTGACAACGGAGTTGGATAAACAGTCAACTGAAGCGGACTTTGTGTCTGAGTCTGAATGGATTGTGTAACAGACGTTGGTGATAGTTCTGACAATGGAGTTGGATAAACAGCCAACTGAACCGGACTTTGTGTCTGCATCTGAGAATCCTGGTGTGTTACAATTGCCAAAATTTCCTGGTGGCTCACCCCAAGTTGCTCCTGAGAGAGAACAAGGAAAATAATTATACAAGTGAAACACAAGGAAGCAGATATTTGACTTATGATAATGAGAGGTATAACATTCTGGAGTTGCATATGATTCAAATTACGTGATACAAGATGCATCCAAGACCCATTCAGATTGGCACGAATGTGCATCTAGAATTTGTCGTAAGGAAGACCCACGCCTCAAGTTAGACTGTAAGAGGTCTAAATGATATTATGTAAGGTCAATTAAGTTGGCCTGTTCCTCACACATATAGACTGAAAGTTTTTATTGTTAAATGTATTGGCCTGTTCCATCAGTCATAAAATCCAATCATTTTGTCTTCTGATATTATCTGATCACAAAGTGGTCAAGTTTTCTAACTTCCAGCCAATCCTCTGAAAAATGATACTTTAACATTCTTTTCATTTTGACATATAATCCACCTCTCCAGAAAGCAAACAGTATGTGAGATAATATCTCTTTATTTTTTATTTTTTCCTTTTTGACAGATAGGTTCAAAAGGAAAGAGGAAAAGACTTTACTTTGGTTATCACTACTCCAAAAGCGATACAGGCTAACAATTATTTTGCAACCTGACACTCCTCTTCACTTGTGGCTCTCTCCCTACTTAGTACCTAGAGGGCTTCACAAAAACTGCGAGGCTATAATCACAAGGATTTTGGATTCATGATTTCAACCCTCAAACAAGAACTTTAACAAACATTTTTGCTCGTCCCCATGAAAAGGCACTCATAGATTTCAATTCCAAAGAAAATTCATAAACAAAAAACTGCAAGAATGCAAAACCATTTCCACCAGCACCCTTGCACACATGACTTCTCTCCCAATTCGTGATATATTTATACGTCCCTCCTCACTCCAGCCCAAAAAACAAAAGTCAAGCAAACAGAAATTCTCAAAAGAATCAGTAATATCACGCAAATAAAAGTGCTCACAATTCACTTAGCCAAAGATCAAAAGTTTAGAAATTGAATATGAATGAGCTTCTAACCTGTAATTGAGCTCCATCAATCGACTGTGACGTGGAGTTAACCTGAAAACCTGTGGGATCAACCACACAAGATCACCCCGTTCACTATAATCCCACCAAGCACTAAAGCTATATAAAATAAAAAAACAAAAAAACATTTTTTTTCTTCCAAAAACTAACACACCGTTTCCGAAGAACAAAGCTTACCTGCACACTGATCGTTCTCTGATAATTCCAGCGTAGAAGGCACCGCTAGGGTTTCTAATTGCGTCTCTCTTGACTCTGGTGCAGAGTTCTGTAACTCGCCCAGATGAATTTCACCGAGTCGCTTTCCTTCTTCGTCCTCGTCTTCATCTTCATCGCCTTCTTCATCTTCTTCTTGTTCTTGTTCGTTTGGCTTTAGCTTTTCTACTTGGAGAGCATCGAAGCTCTCGTGCTCAGCCATGGCCGATTGTCACTCTAAGAGAGTAAAGTTTTTCGCAACTGTTGGTACTGTGACTTTTATAGTGTCCAAAATCGACCCCGAAAATGAGACCGAAACCGAAAAATGTTTTGGATTCTGTGTACCGGTTTATAGATTAAGAGGAGAGAGAGAGAGAGAGAGAGAGACGGTGAGAGATGTTGTGGGGGATATATGTGTCTTTGACTGGCGTTGACTCAGGTGGTTGTTATGACGGTGTAACCGAAGCCGTTAATATCTGCGTTACATCAGATGCGGGGATCATCGTTGTTTTGTTGACTTGACGGTTTCCTTTCGGCCGCCGTTTGGACTCGGACATAGTGACCCATTTTCTGTAATTTGTGTGTTTAAATAAAAATCTTGTATTAATTTAATCAGATGTTATAAGCACCTAAAAAAGCGATATTCTACTCATTCTCTTCCTTTATTTATTGGCTCATCACTTTAGGAGTTCAACCTCGAATTTTGCATTTTATTTTTAACCTCAATTGCTATGACAATATTTTATTTATCAACATTATTTCATATCATTTACAACCTTATTCTTTTTTATATAACAATTATTTTTTGAAAAACTTGAATTCATGTGAACACTCAAGATTTGAATTCATGTGAAATTTCAAGATTTGGATTCATGATCTCGCAAAAGTAAATTCATGTCTTTAGACCAAATGATTATGGACCGCTTGTCTTGCATATATGCAAAGATGAAAAATAAAATTCGCTTACTGTCTTATGAAAAATAAAATAAAAGGTGTAGTTTACTAGCCGAGAATATTAATTGTTGGAAGAAGAGTGTGTGGTTATAGTGGAAAACCCTTTTCGAAAGTCAGAACGCAATTACCACTTTGCCGTTTTTTGTTATGGATTGGAAGGCTCCTAATTAAACTGCTTTCTTTGTAAAAGATTAAAGAGAGATTCTTGCGAGAAAGTTAATCCGACTACCAAGAACAGAAACGCAAACGCTGATGATAGAACTCTGAGCACGTGGCCGTTTGTTGTCCAATCAAGATATAGAGCAGAAGACAAAGTTATTTTCTCAATACCATTTCGATTCCATATATGTACATATTTATGACGAGTTTTATATATTTAAAGGGTTGAAAATTGAAATTAATGAGGCCGTCTCCGTCATCATCCTCCACACTTGGGAATACAGTCCTGAAGAAATAAATAAATAAACATTCCTTCACACAGAGTCCAGTCCATCCAGATATCCCGAAAAGTAGAGTCACGCAAATCTACCCAATCCAAACCCGTCGGAGTTGAGAAAGAACACGTTCACAACAACTACAACTAATACAAGTAGATCAATGAATTCACAACCTACCTAAACCCAACCCCAAACAAAAACTATGTGACTTGTACTTGCATGCTCCGGCTAACGCAAACGCAGCCTTTTCACTTCAATTCGCTTCCGTCTTATCTTCACCTCCAAAATACTCTCTAGCTATTCTCTACCCTATAGGCTCTCGCTGTCATCCTCATTTAATGCAGCCGCTGCTAGAGTCAGGTTAGCCTTTTCTTTACTCAATTTCACTTCTTTTTATTGATTTCTGTTTTTCTTTTTCTTTTCATTTTGATGCTGATTGGTTGGTTGCTTGAGAGAGAATATTCAATCGAAATTCCTGTTTGTGTGTGTTGGGTGGATAATCTGTGTCGCTGTATGGAAAATTGGAATTGAAAAGTATGCACTGTTCACTTTTTCTGTTCGCTTGTCCAACGCATTGTTCTTCAGCAGCAGTACTGAGATTGAGCTGTTTTCTTTTTAACTTTTCACTTTTTCCGTTTACTTGTTATGTTGTTCTTCAAAGTTCAAATCTTTAAGCTTAATGGCTTTTATGGCCTCAGCTGTTTTCTTCTGTATACAGCAAACTGCCCTAGTTGTAGTAGACTAAAAGAGCTATTAGGAGACAGATAGAAGAAGAGAAGTTGCAGTTATTTTATGCATCCAAATAAGCTTAGAAATTGGGTTTATTCGTGTAGATTTTAGTTAGTTTCCTTTGAAGTTTTGTGTAGGGATTGTATTTGGTTTCTTTTACTGTAGAGATGCTGGTTAGCTGTAGTTTGCTTCTGGTTTGGTTCCTACTTCTTTTTTATTTTGCCTCTGTCTTGTTCTTCTTCTTCTCTCCTCTCCTATCCTATGTTCCCCTCCACTCTAATTCTCTTCTTGTTCTACATCAGTATAGTTTCATGGTGGGTTCAATATAGTGTGCATTTACTGCTTATATTTATCACATCAAGTACTCTTCCTCTTCATGGGAAAAAGAAAAAGAAAAATGTGGTCAATTTGAAGCAATGATTTTGCACGGCAGGTATCTAAGTTAGGGTACTAAGATCCAAAAAAAATTAGTTTGGATTACTTTCCCTCCTTTCCCTCAATTATCATCCATTTTAAGCTGAGTTAACCAGAATTCAATGAATTTATCTTGATTGAGTGGTGGATAACTTCAGAAAATGAAAAAAAATCTAGAATTTTTGGTCGAGAGGATGAGAAAATTAACTGTTGGATTCTGTTTAAATGGAGTTAAATGTGTAAGATTTGAATTTTTAGGAAATGAGATAAAAGGAGAGGATGAATAAGATTGATTGCTATTTTATGGGCTTGTTAATATTGATATTTTCTCATGATCATATATATTCATGTCAGGGGGGAGAATGGAGGAGGAACCATCAAATCTTCCAGTTTCGTTACGGGGCCGGGTTTCTGCCTTTGAGACGAGGGCTAGGGAAGCATACAAAAGAAAGCCAATCTCACATTGGATTCTTCTTGTTCTAAGCAGTGCGGCAATGCTCGTAGCATTCCCTGCATCAAGCCTTCTGTCTCGTGTCTATTATGCCAATGGTGGCACTAGCAAGTGGATCATTTCATGGGTGGCAGTTGCAGGGTGGCCTCTGACTGCTTTGATCTTGCTCCCTACATACTTGGTCTGCAAAACCTCTCCTACTCCCCTCACTTTAAAACTTACTTATTCTTATATTGTGCTTGGTCTCTTAAGTGCTGCTGACAACCTCATGTATGCTTATGCATATGCTTACCTCCCAGCATCTACTGCTTCTCTTCTCGCATCATCATCTCTAGTATTTTCTGCATTGTTTGGATATCTACTTGTGAAGAACAAGCTAAACGCCGCAATAGTAAACGCTGTTGTTGTCATTACTGCTGCTATGACCATCATTGCTTTGGATTCAGATTCAGACAGATATGGAAATGTCACTGATAAGCAATACATTTGGGGTTTTGTATGGGATATTTTAGGGTCTGCTCTCCACGGACTCATATTTGCTCTTTCGGAACTAGTTTTCGTGAAGCTAGTTGGTAGAAGGTCCTTCCATGTTGTGTTGGAGCAGCAAGTGATGGTCTCTTTGTTTGCGTTTGTATTTACCACGATTGGAGTAATTGTGAACAACGATTTTCAGGGAATGAAATACGAGGCCAGAAGTTTCAAGGGTGGTAAATCTTCTTATTACCTTGTTCTCATTTGGAGCACCATCAGTTTCCAGCTGGGGGTATTAGGGAGTGTTGCTGTGCTTTTTTTGTCGTCCACTGTTCTTGCGGGTGTCCTGAATGCAATAAGGGTACCCCTCACAAGCATTGCAGCTGTCATTTTGTTAAAAGACCCAATGAGCGGCTTGAAGATCCTCTCTCTGGTCGTCACATTTTGGGGCTTTGGCTGCTACATCTATGGCAGTTCCTCTCCAAGTAAAGATTCCTCGTGATATTTTCTTGTCTGCTCTCTCTTTGTTTTCAATCTTTTGGGGTTATGTGTTTCGTTTATCATATCTTATTATTATACTGGAGCTCTTCGTTGTCAGACATTTTTCTTCCCCAAGATATCAAGATGTATTATAAGCAAGATATATGTAATATTTGTTCTATTTCAAAGGAAAGAGCTGCAATTCCCAAGTGCACCCGCGTGTGCAAGTGTGTAAACGCTTTTTTTTTCCTTGTCTGGTTTTTTAGGATATAGCAGACAACATCATCGCATACGAACATGGAATCTAGGTTGAACGCACAAAAAGGCCTTTTGAGGGCAAATTACATGCTAGCCAGAAAGACCACAGCTACGCCATCAAACCTAATACCAACAGATTCATAGATTTATTCAAAAACACCCAAAAGTAAAGCCATTAACAAGATTGATGAGTAACATCAATAAGGATCCCAAAACATGCGACATCACAAAACGAGCATTAATTGAAAGATTAACCAGAAATATTTTTCTTTTGTTGGAAAAAGCCAAAATAGTTTAATAGATATGCAGCAATCTCCCTTTGCAAGGGATCAGCGGCCTTAAATTTGCGTCATCACTTTTACAAGCTTGGCAAGCTAAAATACCATTTAAAATAACGGTTCATTGCACAGAAATATGGTTGATAAACCTCCCTGTTAGCAACAGTTCCACAAGAAAAAATAAAAAACGAAGAAAGTCTTGCCATCAGCTACAGCTACTGCTACAGCATCATACTTAGTTCTTAGGACCAATATCCTTGAGAGCACAGATCTGCTCCTCTCCCATTGCAGACATGACAGTCACCACAAGATCCTTTCCATCAGCAAACCCATCTTTAATCTATAAAGGAGAATATGAAAGAAAGATTTTAGTCTACAAAGAAAACAGATACAATAAAGCAACTTTGACTATAGGAAAACTTTCTCAATGACATACCTGGCTAAGCAGACTTTCATCGGTGGGAAGCCTCAGATCATCCTTGGTGTTTCCATTTTCAGTTAAAAGACTCACCTACAAGACACCCAACTCCAGTTAGTTTATATAAAATGGCAGGCAGGCAACTACTTGTCTCATCATGCCCTTCCATCTCACAGGTGAAATTTCTGTTTTAACCTTAGGGTATTCAAGTTTCCAGTTTTGCATATATGTGTATTGTGTATCTGTTATCAGTATTTATTAAACAGGTAAATGCATGTTACAAGAAACTTATTACATTTTTTAACATAACACAAACAGGGGAAAATATGTTGTTCAACTCCAAAACATAAATCCATGCTGCAAAAACTCAAGAGACGCATCTCACATTTTAAAAATGAATGCAAGTTTGTCTCCCTTGGTATCATCATTATCATCAAAATGGACATAAATTCACATAGCAAACAAAA